CCTAGCCCATACAACTCACAGACAAACACTGTAATTTTTTTCTTTTCTCACTGAAAATTTTCCAGAAACATATAGTTGTAGGAATTATGGTAAAATACAGTGCTGTAAGCAAGAGATATTAAGATGAAAGTATAAATCAAAGAAAAAATGAGTGGTAAAAGCACTAAGAAAATCCAAACCTTTAGAAGAAAAAGAGATTAAATTTTTTTTCAAAAAATAGAAGTCAAAGAAAATACAAATGATAAAGAAAAACTATATAAATTAGGATATTATGTTATGGATAAGGCTAGAAATATACGGATCTATTAAAAGGAAGATAAATACAGAGAAGGGATTTCTGGAGGTGAAACATTTTAGTCTACTTTCTTCACAAAAGTAGACTAATTAACAGATGCCTTCTTTGCTCCTACTTCAGACTGCTGGAGAGGAAACTTATTTGGACATATAAACAGTATTTTGGGTCTAACCAATACTTGTGAGCCTCTTATATGTTACACATTCCATCAATCACATTCTTCTATAATTTTTGTATTAACATTTAGTGTGGTAAGAGTATACTAGGGTACACTGGCAGGAAATACCTAAAACCTTACGGATGAGGTGTTCAGATGATGAAACAACACTCAAAGCCTGTGGAACACACACATGAAAAGTGATATGATCACAGTAGAAGTGGCCTGGGCAGAGAAAGGACAACAGGCCTCAGGCTGTTTGTAAAGCACTGTAGATCTCTTTGGATACATAAACAAGAAAAATAAGGTATTCTAAATTAGATTTAAAAGTAAAACTCATCAATATATTTGGAATAAAAAAGATCTTGAAAAATCACATTTGGTATTTATATTTCAGACATGGCAGGTAAAAGTTTGTTATTTACACAGAGGATCAGAAACAAGTTTGAAAGACAGTTCTGATATCTTTTTTCTTTTGTTTATAATCTAGTTTTTATGTTTGTTACTTTGATTGTTACAATTTAAAGAAATAATATGCAATTTCTTAAAAATTTTCTAGTATGATGCTAGGAAAACTGATTCATGGTTACACAAAAATCTACAATTAAACATCAAGGAAGTCTATGTTTTCCCCCAAACCAGGCTTCTTTTACAGACTTGTATCTGTTATGAGCTATTTACTTTTGGAAGATATTCCTTTCTATATACTGGTAAACAATCAGTTCATTCACAGTTCACAGTCAGTAACACATAGCTGCTACTAGAGCCTAGAAACTGAATTGGCAGCAACAATGATTAAATCTGGACCTATAATAAAGAGAAAACAGAATTACAGTCTCTAGGAAAAGGCTGAGAGAAAGGTTTTCTAACTGAGCATTTCTGAAGTATAAATTGTCATAGTGAAAAATAACATCACTTTTTAAGTGACATTGGTTATACGTACTATTTTGTCATACAATTGGCCTAGCAGTTGAATCCTGTCATGGTTTATGTTAGTGGCCCCCAGGCCTCATGCGTTTGCATTATGCATTTGTGATTGGTTCATTGTCTAGCGCTTGGATTGGTGGTGTCAGTGCTACACCCACATAGGGGTGCAGCCAGCATACAATGTAATGGCAGGAAGAAGGTGTGTCTCTCCCCGTTGCTGGTTTCTGCCTTTCTGTTTGCAGCTGCCCTGAACTGTGGCCCTGGCATGCCATCCTGCCTTGGAGCCAACTGAATATGGACTGAAACCTCCAAAACTGTAAGAAATAAACCTTTCCTTTCCCAACTTTGGCATCAGGTATTTTTGTCTCAGTGACAAGTAAAAAGTAACTAAGACAAACCCTGATTTATGTTAATTTTGATAAAAATCAAATCATTTCCAAACAGTATTTAATCAATGGAGAGTAACAATCACAGAGCTTGGTTCAAATAGATATGCATAAATAAGCTTATCTTCCAGAATATCTTTATTAAAAAGACAAAGAAGGCCATAAAATTTCCATTTTTCTGTTGAGTAAATTAAGACCAAACGAGTAAACTCAGCAACTATATTCACTTGAGAACCATATACACTTGAGGACATAAACATCAAAAGTAGTAAGTTCTGGTACAAAAACCTAAATTCAAATGTCATATATTTGTATTGTAAAAATTTCAGAGATTAATTATAATGCAATAAAGGTTGAATAATGAATTGGTGCCTTGAAACTATCTATAGAAAAAAATCTTAATATCACTATCAATAAATTCATAGATGGATCTGGAGACCAACTGTTGCAGTAAACAGTAATATCACTAGGTATGCGTTTCCCTTTAGCTCACAAATTACTGAAGTCAAAACAATCAAAAAAAGCCTTTGGAAATACAACTGTAAGATGCAAGATACCATGAAAACAGAAAGGAGATCATCCTGTTGCCATAAAAGACATTTGTGTTTGTTTCAATATAGCATCTGCTCTGAATTTGCAGGTTATAAAATGCTCTCAAAGGTCAGAAAATGCTAAATGGTACATCTGATACTACATAACTGAAACTACTGGATTCTAAGAGCCCTGCCAATAATTCTGAACTACCAGCAACTAAAACAACACCAATACACTTTTAGCTGGGTAACAAAAAAGGTGTTTCTGGCAGAACCCCAGAACACAAAGTAGAAGCAAAGACATCCAGGGACTATAGAGTACTTTTCAAAACTAACCATGGCTTACTATTCAATAATTTATTCCTCATATTCTTCCTTTCCTTCTACTTATCAGTCAAGAGGTTAATTATTTCTGAGGCCCTCCCTCATCCTCACTTCAACAGGCACGAAGTTAGAGCTGAAGAAAATGTTTCCATAAAGTTTAGATCAAGATAATTTATTGAAAGGAGGAAATTACGTTACCATGAAGCAAATAATTTTCAATGAAACACACCAACCAAATTAAATTTTATGACATTTAACTCTACCTTCTATTCCAGTGATAGCGAAACTTTTGGAGCTTTCAATGATAATCAACAACCCATTGTGGCACGTGTGCCATAGGTTCACCACCACTGTTCTATATCACCCTAAATAGTTGATATGATCCTACTTTCAAGTGATAGATTTGTCTACGAATCATTATTTGTATTCACTGTTAATTCGGATGTCTACAATCTTTCTTGGAATTACTTTGTAATACCGGGCAAAGCTAAAATTTTGAGTCCTTTGGGATAACTATTTAAAATATTAGAAAAATAAGACAGAAATAATTTAAATGATAGGGAAAGGTGCTAAGTAAAATTAATGATTAAAAAGATTTTGTTGTAATGGAGGTTTAAATTTATTATGAAACCTATTTTTTCAGACAAGTAATAATGAAAGAGTGAAGAAATCGTACTCAACATCAATAAGGAGCTATTTGGGTTATATATAAATAAAATAACATAGTAACTGAAATTAGGCAAACTGTGTTTTTCTTCTGCAATATTTCCTTCTGGCTTTTCAGTCAATCATTTGCTAAGATTTATCTGGTTTTGTCTATGTTGCCTCATTTCCTCATTTCTCTTTCTGTAATTCTTATCTCTTCTCCCCATCCTTTGATTATCAGATTTTTTCCCTGGGTTAACTAATCTTACATCCAAACATTTAAAAGTAGTATTGTTTTATTAATTCTGAATCAAAGTAATCAGAAATATAAAAATGTTAACTTCAGTATGGATAATTATTTGAATCTCAAAATCTCTCAGGCCTGAATATGAGGAAAACTTCAGCTGTTGAGAATTAACATTTACAGCTTTGGTTTGTCCACAAAATTCATGAGAACAAAGAAGAAACTGATTCTATTTAGAATATTCAGCCCTTAAAAGTACTTATTTGGCCTTTTGAAATTATTGCAAATGTCTTGCTATCTGGAAAGCAAAGTAAGTCCGATGCCTTTTCCAAGGGGCAGTGGTGTATAAAACACCTAAAGAAACTTAACTCTATTAGACTTAAGGAAGCTTGAAGGGGCAGTTAAACCCACTGTGTAACAGCAGTCTCTTTAATACAAAAGAAGGCCTATTTGACAATAATATACACACAAAAACAGATGCTGCATCATGAACGAAATTTTTTTTCTTTTTAAAAAGTACAAAGCTATTTTTCTTTTTTTGGTCATAAGCAACAGGTTTCCTTGAAGATTTTAATAGTCTTCAAAAAGAATAAACGCCATGAAATTAAAAAAAAATCAAAATTTAACATTAATTAGCATTTTAGTATCCCTAGTATGAGAAAAAAATGCTAAACAGTTAAAATTTCCAGGATTTTTTAATAACAAAAGTGAACTATTCATGCTCAGTATAGCTTTATGTAGATGTATTTTATTATTTTATAATACTTTTAAAATTAGTAAAGCCAGATTTAATAGTAATGTTCTAGGACATTTCATTAATTATTTCATTTACTAACTACATGGAATAAATACAAACAGGATACAAGTTGATTATACCTTATCCAAAATGACTGGGACCAAGAAGTGTTTTGGTTGTCAGATTTTATTTTCCAAATTATGGAATACCTATATACAGATAACACCAAGTCTAAACATAAAATTCATTTCTGTTTTTTATATATACCTTATATACAGTCTAAAGGTGATTTTATACAAAATTTTTAGCGCATGTGTGTTCTTACTACAAACATTACATGAAGTGTAAAATTTTCTGCTTGGTGCTCAAAAAAGGTTTTGAATCTTAAAATTATTTCAGATATCAGACTTTTGGATTAGAGAGGCTTGACCTGTGTATCACATTGAAAAAGCTGAAAAAACTCCCAATGATTATGACAGGGCCTCTAGTTTTAGCTTAATCTTTTAAATACTGGTGTTTCACCTAAGAATACAAGTAAATAACAACTGCTTTAATACACCTGTCTCATGCCTTCCTACACAGTCTATGGTTCTTTGTTTTCTAACTAGAGTACTATCTATAATCCAGCCTACTTTACACGGCCCCAAATATAATATTCATGTCATTTAATATCTTACATTTTTAATGAAAAGAATTATTGACATTGTAATTTTCTTTCAGTTTTTTTCAACTCAAAAACATTTCTTGGCTTACCTGTTGCATGCAACAAACTGGCTTCTACTCTATGGGGAATTCTTGGTGGAATTTTCATAGATGCACGAATCTGGTAAAACCTAAAGCCAAATAAACAAGGAAATCATTTCAAAAATGTATTTTAAAATACACTATGCTACAGTTTCTACATTTTATTTAAATAATAAAATTTGACATGATTATATCAGCTTCCCATGATATTTACTATTGGTAGATAAAAACATTCTCAGATCCATATAGCAAATAATGTGATGTATGGATCAAAATGGAAACCCAGCTGGTAAAAAGATAAATGAGAGAAACAAGCAATATATATGGTATTTCTTGCTTTATAGGAGAATGTGATAGCAACATGTGGATCAGAAAGACAACTAAGAGTTTTACTGTCTAATTGGCTTACTGATTTGCTTTTTTCTTTTTGGTACTGGGGATCGAACTCATGACCTTTCACTTACCAGGCAAGCACTTAAGCTGCTGAGCTAAAACTCCTACCAAGAAATTGTTCAGCATCCCAGCCCTTCTTTCTATAATGCTGGAAATTGAACTGAGGGCTTTGTGAATGCTAGGCAAATGCTCTTCTACTGAGCTATATCCCCACCCCTAGATTTTCTTTTAAAATATAATAAAATTACTCTTACATATCATTTTGAGAAAATATCAGAAAAATTATAAGTGGCTTTTAAAAATGGCTCCACACCATGACAAAATAAATGTATGTATTTGATTTTATGGAACTTAGTTTTTTTTGCAAGTTAAGACCTATTTACTTATGTATTTTTATCTGCTTATTTGAAAGGGATTTATACATACATACATGCACACGTACAGACACACACACACACATCCCAGTACCTTGGGGTTTTTTTTGTTAATTTATTCTATGATTGTGGAAATGATGGCCATGTTTGTGTTTCTGTGAGATAGATGGGACCCGGTAGTGTTCATCATCCAATAAACAGTTTGTAAACAACAAAATTTTGCCAAATGCTTGTTTGCAAATCTCACTGTTAGCCAGCAAAAGTGGTTCTAAGGAACCACTGTATTTAAAAATCTACCCGTCATAAATAATAACTTTAAATTAGAAAATATTTGAAGCAAAAACATGATGTGGTTTTAATACAATTATATTAAAAATCTGTGTATGTAATGGAGAATACACATATATATTTCTTAATATATACATATATATTTCTTAAAGTAAAATAAACACTAGACATATATATTTCTTAAATACACATTTCTTAAAAACACATATATATTTCTTAAAGTAAAATAAACACTAGACATCAAGAATTAATTTAGGTGTATACTTGGGAGCTGAGTGCTTAATGTTTTTTTCTTTAATAATTTTGCAGGCCATTAGTGGACTGCTCGGGAGAAGAACATGAATTTAACAAGAAGCCAAGCCCTCCCTGCAAGTCTACACCATGTGTGGGCCACTGTGGGAAGAACTAGATGCCAGTCTTTTCCTGTGAGTCGGAACCATCTGCAGACCATGCAGGAGAAAAAGAGTCAACAAGAAGTCCAGCCCTCCCCAGGAGTCAGCGCTACGTGGGGCCACTGGGTAGAGAATCAGACACGCTCACCTTTTCTGGAGTGCAAGCTGGGAGACAAGAAGAACCAATCCCCATGCCCACCACTGCCTTAAGTGATCAGCTGATCTGGAGAAATACAGGCTGAGATAATAGCTATTGAGGTAAAATATAACTTAATGCTTACAGAGTTTAGTGTTTCACTGGCCTTGTCTGATCATCTATTCAGAGGATAACATGTAATGTAGCATCTATGGCATCTCCTTCAGAAGGTAGTAGCCATTGTTAATTTCCTACTATCTTGTTCTGAATTCCTGTATTTTTACTGTTTTGTTGGGTTGGGTTTTATCTGTTTTCTTGTTTGATTTTATTATATCCAATGGCACAGGCAGCTATTTCAAAGATAACAAGATATATTATGGTAGTCATTTTGGATTTACTATTATCTTGTTTTGAAGTCCTTTATAGTGCTTATTATTTTGTTTTTATTGGTTCTGTTCTGCTCTGTTTTGCTTGATTTTTACTATGTCTGAAGGTATGGGCAGCTATTTTGAAGACAAGAGGCATTATGGTAGGCATTATTGATTTTTAATTATCTTGTTCTGAAATCTTGTATCACTTACACTGCTTTGTTTTGATTGGCTTTATTCTATTTTAATTTGCTTGGTTTTATTCTCTTTAAAATAAAAATTACAAAAAAACCCCTCCTAGTGCGTGTTAAATTAAAACTGGAAATAACACTTACAATTAATACAAAAATTGGAAAGTATATATGACCAGGTCATAAAAGGAGAATTAAAGAATTAGTAAAGGAAAGGGTGAAGGAGTAGGGAAATGACCCAATTCTATACAGATAGAGGACTAATTGAAATTAAGACCAGGTCTGCTTCAACAATGAGGTAAGAATGAAAGATAAAATCAGCTGAACCAGAATAACATTTTCTAGGAACTCTTTAACAATAATAGTAGAGAATTTCAAGACTTCACTTTCCTCAGTGAACAGGTCATCCAGGGAGAAAATCAACAAAGAGACATCCGAGCTGAATCATACTATAGAGCTAAAGAACCTGGCAGTCATTTATAGAACATTCCATTCCATGGTAGTAAAATGCTTACCTTCTCTTCAGAAAATGAAACATTCTGCAGGACATATCACTTGTGAAGCCACAAATTAAGTCTCAATAAATTAAAAAAAAATATACTGTAATATATCTTCTAAGACTGCAATGCATATTAAACAAGTCCAACAAGAATATAAATTATATAAATACATGGAAATGTAGTATTATATTCCTTAAACAACCAATGGGAAAGAAAAGAAATAAAAATATAATTTCTAAATATGAATGAAAATGACAATACAACATACTTAAAGTCTGTGGGATACAGCCAAACCAGCAGAGAGGGAATTTTATAGCAAGAAATGTATACATCAAAAAACTAGAAAAATTTCAAACCTAACAATGCCTCTCAAAGATTTAGAAAAGCACAAACCAAAACTAGTACAAGTAAAAAAATAAAGATTGGGGTATAAGTAAATAAAATTAAAGCTAAAATGCAAAACAAAAGATCAACAAAATAAAGACCTGATTTTTTTGAAAGAATAAACAAAATTGAAAAATCTCAAGTGAGACTGACCAAGAAAAAAGTAAATAAATAAATAAATCAGAGATGAAAAGTGATTGTTACAATTTAAATTCCAGAAATATGGATGAGCATTAAGAACAATTCTTTGTTAAAAAAAACCTAAAAGAAATAAATGAATTCCTAAACATATAGAACCTAACATAATTGAATCAAGAGGAAACTGGAACTTGAGAGACAAGCAATGGGTAATGAGACTAAGGTAGTAATTAAAAAAATCTCTCATCTAAAAGAAATCCAAGACCTGACAACTCTTTTCCTTTTCTTCCTGTTGCCCCACCCTCAGGACTAGGTATTGAACCTAGGCTTTAACAGTAAGCTACATTTACAGTCATTTTTTATTTTTTGCTTTTTTCTTTTTTGGAACTGGAAATTGAACTCAGGGCTTTGAGCTTGTCAGGCAGGTGCCGTGCTGCTGAACTATATCCAGCCCCACAGTCATTTTTTTTTTTTTTAAAACAGGGTCTCATTTCATTGCTAAATCTCTTATTTCCTGAATGCAAGATTTTTTCAAATAAAAATTTTAAAGTCAGATTAATCTATTGCATCCAACTTGCATAAGGAAGTACACCTAAACATAAGAGCCTAAATATAAGAGCCTACCCACTAGAAGATGAGCGATTATGTGGAACAGAGTTTGAGAGTACTTGTGAAGGCAATTTTCAGCTTACAGCAGATCCACCAGCTGATCACAGATGTTTGAGCAGTTTAACTGATATCAGTTTATTGATCCCTAGCCAACCTGAGGAATAATGTAAAGTCACTTTCTAAAAAGAAAGTTAAGACTTGTTCATAGAATACTTGATTATGCCCATATGTCCTGATTTGTCTGGATCAATTCTAATTTTCATCTGTTGTATTAGTGTATTATTAAAGGTACCTGATTTGATCAATAAGTTGTATAGTCTTTCTAGCATAAAAGCTGTATTTGATTTTCCTTTTGCAAATTGAATTAGTCATATAGCTTATATGCTGTGTAAGTTTTAAAACTAGATGCGTTACAATGTTCTTTCACCTCTATTTAACAGTCCCTATAATTCTGACATATGAAACAGATTGTTATTCTACTTAAACTAGAATCCAAAATGTGGTAGTATAAGTATATCCTAATATTAGGTATATTTTAGAATACCAGGAGAGAAAAAAAGGGCTATGTTCAGTCAGATATAAGTGAATATATAAAAGTCAATGTCTTATTTTATACTAACAAAACCAAACCAACCCTTTAAATAAAATGCAAGAAAGCATTTGAATTAGAAAACTGTACAGGTAGGGCTGGGCATTTAGCTCAGCGGCATAAGCACCTGCCTTGCAAGCAGGCAGTTGTGAGTTTGATCCCTGGTACCGATAAAAATGAAAAAGACAGAAAAAAAAAAAAAAAAGAAAGAAAACTGTATAGGTATAGTCAATTTTGTTACAGAGAACACAACACAATGAAATAATCCCTAAAGACATCGACTATTCTGTTATTTTATAACATTCATTTCTCATCTATTAAGTAAAACACTACGTTCAAGATCATTTTAAGCAGGGGGCTCTAAGGAATTAAGAATTAAAGAATTAAAAATTAAAATATTGTTATAAAGAATGGTGTGAGCAGGGTGTAGTGGCATCTGCCTATAATTCTACCACTCTCAGGGTCTAAGGCAGGAAAACTGCAAGGTCATGTCCATCCTGCACAACTTGGAAAGTCTCTGTCTCAAATGTACAAAAAGCTGGGGATGTAGCTCAGGGGAACATCACTTGTCTGACAAGCATGAGGCCCTGAGTTTGACTCCTGGTACCCAGAAAATAAAAAGATCAAAATTTAAAAAGGCGATGGGGGCTAGGGATGCAGCTCAGTGTGATGGTCCTGGGTTCAATCCTCAGTATCATACACATAAAAAGGTACGTAAGAAAGTTGCAGAACGGCTGGGATTTAGCTCAGCAACATAAGCACCTGCCAGGCAAGCTCATTAGTTTGAAGCCAGGTACAAAATTTTAAAAAAAGAAGTTATACAAGGCCATAAAAACATTCTTGCAGGTGAAAGGTGAATAAGATAGTGCTTTACTACAAAAAGTCACTTTGCTCTTCTATGAATTTTTATTCAGGGCAATAATAAAGGTTCTTCTACTTAGATCTAGCCTTCTACATAGAAAATAAGTTAAAATAAGACTCTGACATTGCTAAATCTTTTAATTTCAAATGAGAAAGAACATCTTAGCATCTATGAAGAGGTACAAATGGTAGAAAAAGGGGAAAAACTTAAGATGTATGCCTACTGTTTCTGTTGGAAAATCTGAATGCAGTTTTGGTTTTGGAGGGAATAAGAAAACTGATGCTAATAGCTAAAAGGTGTTTGTAAATATTACGTTTATTAAAAAATAATTAAGCTTATTGGTACATTTTAGGTATACTTAATGATCACATTTATAAGGAATTTGTACCTGTATATCTTGATTTTTTTCCCATTTCCCTACTCTTCCTTCAACCCCTTTTCCTCTTTATTTACAAAAGCTTTGTTCCATTTTCCCTCTTTTCTATTTTTTCTTTTCTCTTCCTTCCTTATCCCTTGCTACCTCCACAGTTCTTCCCATTTGAACATCTGCTTCCTATTTCACAATATCAATTATATATTTTGGTTCTTTTAAAAAACATGTGAGTTTTTTCTACAGTGAAATACTACTCTGCCATAAACAAGGGTAAATGTGAAGCATTCCTAGCTAAATGGATGTACCTGGAGATCATACTCTTTAGTGAAATAAACTGGACACACATGTAAATATTGTGTTGTTTCTCTGGTGTGACAAATTGAAAATGTAAATTATTGTATCGCTATTCCCTTTTTCATAGTACGTATAATACTAGGTCAAATCTAACTTGACAGAGGTAATCATTGATTTTACTAAGTAAAGTAGTTTCACATATAAGTAAACATGATCTTTTTTTAGTGTGTGTGTGTGTGTGGGGGGGTACCAGGGATCGAACTCATGACCTTGTGCTTGCCAGGCAGGCACTTACACCACTGAGCTAAATCCCCAGCTAAACAAGATCTTTTTAGTCAAAAGAATAATACTGTTAGCAGGGTGGAAAGATCACACTTGTAATTTCAGCTTCCTGAGAGGTTGAGGCAATTTAGCTAAAACCTGGAGAAAGAAGAGGAAATAGGGGATGCAAAAAGGAATTAAAATGTGTTAGGTACACATACCAACTCTACACAAGGAATGTGAACATTAAATACTACAAACTTGTACTAATAAAAAATAATTAGTAGAGACTTAGTGTAGTGTGAAGGTCCTATGTGAAGGGTTCAATGCCTAGTACTGAAAAAATGAAATACTGTTTTACTTGGAAAAAGCAACTTTGTATTTTATATTTATTACAGTATAATGCACTTGATGCATGTAATATTTATAATTATAATATTTATTTTGTTAGACTTTTATAACAAAGGTCAAAGGAAGCTACACACATACACACAGTATGAAAATATCTTACAAATGGCAGTTAATGGTTTTTAAATAATCATTTTTTAATGTAACAAGCAAACAAACTTTTTTCTAACTGAATTAGTTTCCAAGTCCAACTCCAATATTGCATTTTTGAAACAACAGCAATTAGTTTTGGGTAATTTCTTTTAAAATAAATGTACAACATGTAATATCTACACTGATTTTAAAAAACATGACCAATGTTTTTCTTCTTGCTTCTATCCATACCTTTCATAACACAACTCACATAAAGAACTGGAATGCTGGTGTTCACCTCTTAAGTCTGGCTTGCCTTACGTATGACTTTTGTTGGTCAATACACTGACGCAGGTGACAGTGCATCAGTTTCAGCCCCTAAGTGTAAAGGGGTCTCCCTGTATGGGTCCTCTCTCTTTTCAGAGAAACTGCAAGATGAAAGACTGCAGAACAGAGCTGAGTCTGTATAGCCAAGGCCATTCTGCAATACCTAGTACCCAGTCAACCTGCCAGCTGACTATGGATTGAGAGTGAACCCAGCAAAGATTAGCCAAGCCAGCAAGATCAGCACAACTATTCAGATAATCCACAGACTTGTGAGCAAATACAATTGTTCAGTACTACAGTGCCACTGAAGCTTTGTGTTTTATTGTGAGCTACTGATAGCCACATTACTGTAAGAGTAAGTAACAAATACAGCAATGAATACCTAGAATTGTTGTGTGCCAATTATGTGTTTGTGGGGACAAACTCATGGTCCCAATCACAGAAGGTGAAAAAAATAACAAGGAAACCGTGCAAGATTAGAAATATGGTAATTCATGTTACGCAGACAAAATATGTTGTTAAAAATAACAGAGAGGGGGCTGGGGATTTAGCTCAGCGGTGTAAGTACCTCCTGGCAAGCACGAGGCTGTGAGTTCAATCTCCAGTACCAAAAAAAAAAAAAAAAAAAGACTTAAAAGTAACAGACATATCAAAGAAACTTTTGACCCACAAAGGTAATTTCCAAGCAAAAGTTGAAAATGTTAATGACCTGTTCTGAAGTATATATAAGATTATGCAAGAAAGAAATCAAAGAAAAAAAGCAGTCATTTTATGTGATGAATCTCAAGGGAACATAGAGGCCCCAAGACATGCTGGTTGGAAAATAAAACTGCTTTTGTTTCCATTTCTTAAAAGATTTTCAAAATAAGATGAAGTCCATGGTCAAAGATAAAATCCAAGGAAAGGCAGGGTTTTTCACTAAAAGAATTAAGCCAGGGTCTAAGTAGACAATTTTAGCTTGGCAAAACATTTTTAGGAAGATTTAGGTGCTAGATCCTACAAAAATGCGGATCATTTAGTAATAGTGATTATATTCTGAAAGCTAGAGTGATTCCAAAAAATCTGTGGTTATGGCACGGAAAGGACATCAAGCATATACAAAGCTCATTTTTTCTTTGATTTTAAGACAGGTTCTTGCTAGGCAGCCCAAGCTGAGTAAACTTATGACCCTCCTGCCTCAGCCTCCGAGGTGCTGGAATTATAACATGCATCAGTATACCTAGCTTCACATTGTGCAAGTGAGTTGTACTGGCCAAAAAGCAATCATTCTAGCTGGGTGTGGTGGTACACACCTATAATCTCAGGTTCAGGCCAGACCTGTCTCAAAAAAACAAAAAACAAACAAACACCAAAACATTCATGTTGGGCTCTCAATTTGGCCTTGTGAACTGCTTGGCTGAAAGTCCACAGAGGAAATAACAGTTTGTCAACTAAAGGGGCCTCGCATCTTCTGCTCTTTTCCTTGCACTTTTGTTTCTGCCACAGAACAAGCCCACTCTGGCCTGTTTCATTTTTTTCAATGAGATAGCAAAGCTAAACCAAGAAAAAGAAAATGTCTCTTATGCTATACCTTCTGTTAATCATAGCCTCATACTGCCACTCACATAGGCCTTCAGATTTGTATGTGGAGTTATAGCAAATGTCTCTAAACTGTTCCCTATGTTTCTATTTCTGCTATGAAACTATCAACCTAATCTATCACAATCTCCATTTTGTTAATAAGCGCTCGTTGTACTAGCATTTGATAATTCTATTCTTATTTGGTAACTACTAGCGATCACACCTAAATCCATAGTGCCAATTCTTTTCCAGACATTGAAAGACTCCCTTTTCTAGCTTCTGTAATTGTCCTAGAAAACACTGGATTCCCCAAATATTCTTAAAACTAATGTGTTTATTCCTACTTGCAGGACCTGCTCTTGCTACTGTGTTGAGTCATGGCTCTTGTAACTAAAAGGATCATACTGCGCCCTTCACCTATCCAAGTCTTATTCATCCTCTCCTAGAGTACTTAGATGTCATTCTGTTCCAATTCTTACACTGCTCCTATACATATTTATGGAAGTTTTATCTTGTATGATTTGCATTTCTACTTAGTTGTTCTGTATGTATAACTTATTGGCCTCAATATACTATACGCTTTATACCATGTTTTCATTATGGTCTTCTTAATGGAAGTACAAACTCACAAATAGAAGTTAAACACAGTCAGCCTTATCACTAACCCATGTGAATAATTCCTAAATATCTATTTAACAAAATTTTTCAGAAAGTGATTATTTGAATATAGTTCACTGTTCTCCTTATATATGCAAGAATACAATTTAAAACTGTGTATCTTATACAAAATATACAATTTTCACGTTAAAATACACACCCTCTCTGGAATAAATCCACATTGTAGAACTTGTTTAGCTCCACAGAGAATTCTACCATTGCTTGAACTTCAGTCATTTTTAATTAACACCCAGAAGGCAAATCTGGTAACAGCACCTTAGTTAAAGAAGGGGGGAATAAACATCAGAATGACAACAAAAATGCCAATCTATAAAAATACAATTATTTAAACAAATTTCAGAATATACTACATATGCAAAAAATGAAGCAAATTAGTGCCTAACGTAGCTTTATCTAACTAAATAGCACCAAAATCTCTACCTTTCACATACAATTACTCCCTATAATTTATACTGTTAGCATGTTTTTCTAAGATTTGTTTCCACTGATGACACTTAAGAATTGCTAAAAAATAAACTTTTGATTTTTTTCTTATAAATAATAGTAATTTTAAAAACATAAGCTAATTATTTTCTTCTCCTTTTCCCTTCCATATAACAATAACTCCACAATCAACATGAGAATTAGCATTCTTTAAACTCCATAGAAATCCATGGAAAGTTTTTCTTTTATTATGTAAAGAAACCCTGTAAATAACTATTCACTTTTAAATAAAAAGTATTTTTCCTTTATTATAAAAGCCTAAGGTACTAATTTACAAAGAGGTTTCAAAAAAAAAAAAAAAACCAGTTAAAAAATATTTACAACTTGATCCACTGAAATACATGTGGTATATATTCTTCATGTCTGTGTACATTAATACAATTTTTTATAAAAATGAGATTGAACTACATGTATATTTTATAACTTGTTTCACTTAATTTTCTAGTGAACATCTAAGTCAATAAATGTAGTTGTACAGTATTATTTTTAATTGTAACTATTATACTGTGAGCATGTTATTCATTGTTGAGTATTTCAATGGTTTCCATCTTTTTACTGTTTCAGAAAAATGCAAGTCACCCTTATCAATAGTACATATTTTAAAAAGTAATTTGGAATAAAAAATGTTAGAAGACAATTCTCCATGAGTCTTTGCTATTTCTGCCTATTATATAAACAGAGACACGGATCAACTTTGTTCCATACCATCTTCTCAAGCACATCTGTGTGGTGTATAATCTTAAAAGTCAGAGATAGTTATCTCATAACTTCTAAAACAAAGTGAAGATCTGCTTACTGTGCTACACAATAAAGTCTCCCTCAAAGGCAAAAGTCAGAGATGTTCATCACAAAAAATCTTGGGTTCCACTAGCTGAGGGTTCCTCTCCTGTAAAATAAAATACCCACATGCAGGTATTACCTGGCTCCAGCTACTGTTGTACTAAGTCATCTTTGTCTTGCTTTGATCCAGGAGTCTCTTGTATTCAGTTACCATCTATGGCCCAATGGCTGCCTAACTTGTGAGCTTCCAAGTACGATAAAAAATTTCAGATCCTTCACAGTTCTTAAAATAATTTGTCACTGAAATTCTATGGAAAATTAAATGCAAACAGATGTCATATTCTTACCTCTGCTGATTAAAACTTCATTTTAACATTACTAAATAACCAAATCTTGTACTTCCAGTTATTGATTCTTGTTGTTAAAAATATATTGTTCCCCCTAAGAGAAAGAAAAAATAACATCTCAAATGAAGTAGTAGACAAAAAAGTTTATCTTAAGGAAACCAAAGCGTCATTACCTAATATTTTCAATTTATATAAAAAAACTGTATCTTCCACGACTTATGAATTACAATTGTAATATCAACATCAATTATATCTCCATTAGTAGTTTATACATGCATAATTCAAAGTACAGTAAGAGTTGTTTCTTAGTTCATTAGTTCAGTACCAATCCCTATGAATATATAAATTTTAAGAGCTCATCATTTTTAAGATATAAAGTATCATTTTAAAACAACTTTGAGTAGAAGAGATATGTATAAAATGTTTTGTGTATTTACATGTATGTTATGTGGGCATAAAATGAACTATTTAAAGTAATTTGACAAAAAGATTGCCTATGCTAGTTTTTCCTCATATTTCAAATATTGTTTAAATACAAGCATTTTTTTTTGCACCTGGTATAAGCTTGTCAGGTAGTAAAAATATTAAGACTGAAGACCATGCTCATATTTCAATAGTTTCTTCTTACATTGTAGACTTTCCCAAATTCCCAAGCTGCTGTTTTCAGCTTCACATCATCAATAATTAATAAAAATCATCAATATAGATTAAAAAAATGTTATCTTTATATAAGCTATTCTTCACTTCATGGAAATAACACCTAAGACAGTTTCTTTTTCACATATATTCATGTTTTGACTCTGAATCAAGTTTGGTCAAATCTTTATACCTTAGTGCAATCAGACATAAAACAGGTTTTCACTCAAACATTAATTGAACATCCACTATAGGTTAGGAATGGTAATACATACAAGGTACAGCTCATTTCCTGGTCTCAAACAGGCATCAAGAAGAGACAAATATATGTAAATGTAGCACAACGACTAAAATATAAGCTTAGCATTTGACTCTCAGATCTAAGAAACTTTTTTCTTTTTTAAGCTATTTTCATTTGTGGATTCTTATTACAGTACTTTGGCCTCTTCCTAAATACAGAAATTAATATCAGAATTATTTTGTTATAATAAAATCCTAAAATATATATGGTACTAGCTTAGTAATTATGTATCAGGCAAAAGGAAAATATACTACTAGAATATTAGTACTGTGCTCCTCACAGGTGGGGAAAACCAACTAATGAAACCACTATTTATAATAACCTGTAGAAGTTGGGGTTTCTGGTCCTTTTTCCTGTATTTCCTGGGTATCCATATCTACCCAACATACTAACAATTTTACTTATTAGTCTTCATTATATCTTCCTTGCTAAATGTAACCTTTTTTGAGGCAGAAAATTCTGATTAGTCTGTTCAGTGCCAGATAGGTTCTCAATTTAATATTTAATGACTATTTAATATAGTAACATTAAAGATTCTATAAATATTAATATTATTTTTCTCTTATTTAAAGTGAACCAACTTGAAGAAAGGAATTAATGCACTGATATATTGAAAACAGAGACATGTATGTACAAATTTTGTTCATTAAATTCCCTTATCAGTAGCCTGGGATAGAGCTGCATGCCTGTAATTCCAGCTACTCAGGAGGTTGAGGCAGGAGGACTGAAAGCTCAAGGCCAGCTTGGACAATTCATTGTGACTTTGTTTCAAAATAAAAAATAAAAAAGAATAAAGATATAGCTTAGTAACAGAGCACCTGTGGCATTAATCCCCATCACTGGAGAAAAATGTCCTTTTATCAGCATAAATTTGAGGCCTACTAGGAGTCTGTGCTGCTTTACTCTTGTGCTTACCCATGCTTTCTGCTCTAATACTGCTGTCTACTTTTGTTTCTATCTTTCCCTTTTACTGAGTAATCCCTAAATAGAAACATACATATGAAACTATAAAGAGTACTGATGAAAGATGCTTGATTTTCACTGTTGCCTCTCTTAAGATCAGGAAAGAAGAACTGTTAGAATTTTTTTTAAAAATCAAAGAAAGTAGTAAAGGAAAGGAGAAGGGCATAAGGAAAAAGAAGAGAAAACTGTAAAGGACACTCAGAGTTGAAGTGGATCTGCCAGATCTTTTGTCATGAACTGGTGCTGTGTGACGGTCCTAGGTTTACCTAGGTTCAGTCTCCATAGGGGAGACAGGCAGGAAGAAATCACTGCCACTTGATTCTGGCAGTCCTCACTGGTTCAATATCATGGGTTGTAAATTTTCAAGATGAAGTTGGAAGTCAACCTTTTTAAAGGTGTATTTTAATTTTAGATGCTGTTAACTAGTTAAGAAGCAAAGCAAAACAAAACAAAAACTGTGTACATACTACAAATTCAATCACAGATCAAATTCATTCTGTTGTCTGTCATTTCGAAATCTCCAACTCAACATAGATTCTTAAACCATTCACAGACCAAAAAAACCCTGGTTTGCCCTTTCAAGAACTTTCAAGTTGAAGAAATGACTTCTCTCTTCCTCAGATCAAGCATGGAAGACTCCACTGCAAGCCACACTGTGCAGCTACCAGAACCCTCAAGTTTCAAAGCACTCCCGCACAGTCTGCTAGTAGCTCAGAAACCCTCGTTTAGGTTACAGCTACTGGAATCAGTGTTTATTCTAGCCCTGGAGAAACAGCCTAAATTCAAGTATTCTGACAGTTATTCAAACTGAGATTCAAATAGGGGTGATTTCTGAGTTCACCAAAAGATAAACCACCTGGGCAAACCATGAACTCCAATTCAAAGAAAGAGGAGCCTCAAAAAGGAAATGAGTAAAATGAGAAACTTAGGCTGAAAACCCCTTAGACAAGAAGAGATGGTGTGAAAGAATTGATGGTTAACCTCATAACACTTGAGGAAAAGTTAGCTTTCTCTCAAAGAGAAAAAAACCACTAACTGATGTGAAAGTCTTTTTAGTACAGCAGATCTGCTCTGTCTAACACGATTAGGAACAACTGGAATGCAACTAAGGAAATGAATCTTTAATTTTATTTAATTTTAATCTAACATTGAAGTAATGTAAAATATTTCCCTATTAAAAATAGCTGTATTGTTTTGAAAGGATTGCATTTTACTTTAATCATGAAAAAACTAGACTACTAAAAAATGTGCCGAACTAAGCCACGCTGTAACTGTATTTAATGCATTTCAAAGAACAAAAAATTAAAAAATCTCAGAATGTTTTTATACTGATCACATATTAAAATATTTTGTATATATTTGGTTAAATGTAGCAAAATTAATTTTACCTATTTATTTAATGTGGCTACTAAAAAATTTTAAATTATACGTCACATACTTTTACTGGATAGCACAGTTTAGAAATACAAAGCTATTTCTTTAATAGCTAGCATAGACAGCAACTGCCCCAGAAATAGGAGTAGGTACATAAATCCATGCATAGCATCAAAGATTACTAGGTCATCTACTCCTATTCAACCTACCAAGAGACACTCGGTATTCAGAAGCACAGCCTAGTCATGGATATTCAGAAAAGTGTGGGTGATGTTTCTGTATCATTCACATCGATTCTGAAACACCACTTTGAACAAGTCAGAATTCATGAGTAGTGCTTAAGAATCTTAAAGAGGCACTCTTTTGAGAAACGAGCTCACAACTAATACTACTGGTAGTCTAAATAATGACACCCAGGGGCTGGGGATTTAGCTCAGCGGCATAAGCGCCTGCCTTGCAAGCAGGCAGTTGTGAATTCGATCCCCGGTACCGATAAAAAGGAAAAAGACAAAAAAAAAAAAAAAAAAAAAAAAAAGACACCCAAAAGTTAGCACCTGGAGATGCTAAAGACCAAGCAACCTTTAAAATTCCATTGAAAGATTCCTTATTGGTAACCAAGATATCATTTCTCAGAAAGTATGATATATTCATTTTTTCCCTCCAGTTAAGGAAAAATTCAGTTTTTCTTATAGAATATTAGCTAATTTAGTAATCTTGCATTTAGAAGCCATATTATACAAAAAATGTACATATCTTTAAATGTTCACATTCAGTATAGTGAGATGCTCACATTATGACAGATACAAAGAGATCCTAAACAAAGGAACAACAGATTCACACCTGACCAGATGAAGGCTTCACACTGTAACAGACAGGTGGGATCCGGACAGTGTAACAGACACTTTGGGATCCGGAAACAACAAGGGCAAGAACATGTAACATAGTCTTCAATTTAGGTGTGTTAAATAGGAATGTAATAGGAACAGAGAAGATGTCTAGATTTACAAAGTGGTTACCTCAATGCATATTGTAGCAGCTAAATTCTGTGGGCCTTTTTTTGGGCCTTTCCTAAAGGAACAAGCAAGAAGACTTAAATAAAGTAAAAGCAACCCCTACAAGACTTCAGGATGTTGTTCTTTTGTGAAGAGCAACAGAATCTTAAAACAGTCAGGTCTGTGGCAGACCAAGGGGAGTAGATATCAAGTCTCGGAGGCAAATCTACTCAGCTTCCATTTTTCTGAAGTCCCATGCACAGAACTCCAAGTTAATTTGGTCAGACCACATAGCAATAAACTGAAAACAATCAGCTACTGACATCTGGACTAGTCCTGCATCCATCTGGTATAAATTCTGGCCCAAGTTGTCCAAGTCTGTACAGTTCATTCTGAATATCTGAACCACAGTCCTATTTCTTGATTCACATTCAGTTCTTTTGTTCAGTCGGCTTAGACTAAGACACTCTATCCACTTTTGTAAGCTCCCTCTTGTAAGGGGCTAAACATACTCAGTCACTAGATTATATCTCTAAATGGCCAGCCCCGTCACTTGCCTGACCCTGAAGATCATCACCATTCAGGTGGCTTTTAATCTTTTCTTCTTTATTTATAATCATTCAAATGCATAACACACTTTTATCAGTTATATCTGTTGTTTTAAGAAAATGATTTAAGGCAAAGCAGAGCTTATCAGAATCATTACAGAAAAGGGCAGACATAAGGGCAAATCACTTGTCTAGAAACTTACTGCTACTCTCCATGTATCAAGATGAACTTTAGATAGTTTAATTTTTAGCTTCATGCCATACTGCATAAGTTATAGTGATTTTAAAGAAAATACCAAAATACTAAATTCTTTTTAGGAGAGAAGAGGAGAAAGATCTTCCAAAGGAAAGATAATGGGGACAGTTTGATAGACAAATTATATTTTAAAAGGTTATGTTTCTCTATTGGTACCAAATATAGACCAATAGAAGATAAATACCAAATACAAGCACTTAAAACTTGTTGCTGTGCCAACTCTTAACAGCTTTAATCATGTTATTTCACTTAACTAAAAATCTGAAAGAGTTATTAATACTTCATTTTACAGGTGAAAAAACGAAGAGGCAGAAAGTTTACAAGATTTATCCAAGGTCATACAATAAGGAAATAATGAAAAAAGGCCATAAATCTCAAAATTGTCAAGCTCCATGGCCTATATTTTGACATCTGCAAAAACTTTTACATCTATACCTGAACTGCTAGAAACAGATTTAATGAACAAGCCTTGAGATAAATGTGCCTATCCAAAGAAAAATTGAAATCAGAATGCAACACTAAAGAAAAGAAATTACACTTAATAATTATATTCAATTTCCAGTATAATTAACCTTATTCTTATTCCTTAATCACGAAATCCACAAATTTCTCACACTTCATAGCCACATAAGCACCAGCACTTTTTAGGGTGTCACTTTTTCTTTCTTTAAAATTTATGTTTAAACAGTTCTCTGTTAAAAGAAAAATACAGGCTGGGTGTGGTGGTGCATGACTATAGTACCAGCACTTAGGAGGCTGATACAAGCAGATCTCTATGAGTTCAGCGTCAGCCTGAATTACAAAGGGAGATCCAGTCTCAAAAAAGAAAAAAAGTGGGGGAGCAGCGTGGGATTTTTGCTCAGCAGCTCGAGGTTGTGAGTTGGATCCTGAATACCAAAAAACAAAACAAAAAAAAACCCAAACAAACAAACAAACAAACAAAACAAGAAAACGTTAAGGGCCTAGGATTTAGCTCAGCAGCACAAGCACCTGCCTGGTGAGTTCCCCTCACCAGGATAAGGTTAGAATATAGGCTATTATTAATCCCTTTATGTAAAATTCATAATCATTTTGTCACTATATAGCAGTAACGTAAAAATTCTTGACTTTTTTTTTTTTTTAGAAAACAATTTTTTTTTTTGTATCAGGGATGGAACTCACAACCTTGTGCTTACTAGGTAAGCACTTGAGCCACTGAGCTAAATCCCCAGCCCCAGTAACATAAAAATTCTTACAAAGGACCCCATTATTGTAGAATTCTGAAACAGTTCTCAGGCAAGGGAAGCAAGGGAAATGTTAGTTTGGAGTGAGATTAGTAGAAAAAATTCCTTGAGTAGATAGTTCAAATATTAAACCTGTTTTTTCTTGATTTTCTCCAATCCTTTAAAAGAGTTTAATTAGATTTTAATTGAAGTCTTTTTCTTTAAGGTCCTCTGTCTTACAAATGAAAGTATTTTTAAGCCATGGAGTTGAAATGTGTTTAACAGCCTGATTACTTGTACTGCATTATTTTGAATATTGTTTCCTTCAATGGAGACATATTTAAAAACTGACAAAATCACCATGTCATCTGTGTATTGAGCCATGTTTAATGCTTTGTGTATATTACCTGAAGTTAGCTGGGAATTAAATATTATTCTGGATATTGTAGTTAGACAAAGTGTGCCCATCTTCCAGCTGCTTGTCAATGAAGATCAGCCTCTGCTGGTCAGGGGGATGCCCTCCTTGTCTTGGATAATATTATTTGTATTTGAGAAAACTAAGACTTAAGGGGTCTAGGTCAGAATCCAGGTCTTCCTGACCTCAAAGTTACTGGTACACTAAACATTTGCAAGGAAGCAGTAATGTCAAGAAATCACTGTTTCTTGTAATGTTTTCAGAAAGTGGATTGTAATGTTTATTCTGTTCTTAACATTGATTTCTGTTGAGATGACAAATAAGAAGCATTTTGAGTGTTTCTTGGCAGATCCCAGGGCTAGGTAATGGTCCTAGGTAATAGGTTTTAGTTTCTGTAAAAGAAATAGTGGAGTTTTGGTAATTTTGGCTAGTCTGATGTTTTAAAGAAATATAACATGACTTACTCAAATGCATCCTATAGTATGTTACTGGCAGGTTTGTTTGATAGTAAAAGGTTTGTATAAACTGCTTTTCATAAATTAAGTCTTACTTTCCCAATGTCCAAATAGTATCAAAGATAGCTTTCATTAAGTGTCACATATGAGCAATCAGTTATTTTTCTGATTTAGAAAGAAAACTAATTTTAATACTTAAACCTGAGTAAGGATAAAGGTGGTCTAAAAACTTGAAGTTCCCAACTCCAAAAGACAAAAGTGATGATGAAGGGTTCCAGCCAATAAGCCCTGACTTGGTTGCTTAGATATTTCAGATAGCAGTCTGAAAGCTAAGGTAAGCCTCTAACTTACTAGCAACTTAAATACACTGATGAGCAGGTGTCACAGTTTCAACTACTACAAAACAACCATGAGTGACACACTTACAACCTATCAGGCACATTTAAAGGGATTCAATAAAGGAATACTAACTAGATTAAATCATGACTTGTAGTAAAAAGATACTTCATAAAACTTAACAGCAATGTTCCAGACCATCAATAGGATTTCATATTGATGACCTTATTTAAAAAGACTTTCTATATTCTGAATGGACTGATAGAGGCCTACTTCCCTAAAAGGCAACGTGTTATAATTTTCTCAGAATGATTTCTTGGTTGAGAGCCTGTTCATCAAGTTTGTTTCATCAAAATAAAAACTATATTGGGTTACTCCAGTAGGGGATACTTTTTGATAGTGTACTGTCCTTGACATCTTTATATTTCGGTTAAGGAAAAAGAGGCCAATTTTTATGTTTAATTTAGCCCATTACTGATAACCGAATACTTTACGTATACCTTAAGAACTGCCAATCTATCTATGTTTGGTGGCACGTGCCTGCAATCCCAACACTTTGAATACTGAGGCTGCAGAACTGAGAATTCAAGGTCAGCCTTGCCAACTTGGCAAATCTAGGGAGCCGAGACCTGGGTTCCACCTCTCATGCTGGAAGATAAAATAGAGACATCTAGAGAGTCGGGTGTGGTGGTACGTGCCTAAAATCCTAGTACTTGGGATGATAAGGCAGCCTGAACTACACAGCAAGACCCTGTCTCAAAAAAAAAAAAAACAAAAAAAACAAAAAAACAGCTGACACCTATGTATGTTATGTAATTGCTGTAATTCTAGCAAAGTGAAAATATAAGACAACTGCAAACGAAGGAGGTAATCAAAGATATATATGTAACTCTCATAGCTCCTTTTGCTATCAAGTCCTAGCCAGAAAACAACAACAAAAAAAGCCTATCTGTTTTGCATACTGAATGCTGCAGTGTGTTTCACCCATATGAACATTATTCTAAACAAGTCCACAGGTCACAAGCATTCTACTAGGTTTTTCACAGAAATCTGAAACTCAAAAAAAAAGAACCTTAAGTTTCAGCTTGATCTTGAAAGATTTAAACAGTCAATGATGATCTTACTAAAACTAAAGAGACAACAAAAAAATTAAAGACACAAAAATGTAGTATCTATAAAGCATATTTTTTTTGTCTGTGACCCTAAGCTGGTTTAAATGATCAGGGCTTTGCTACTGAGAAATTACTGGATGGCCATCCTTATTATCCACATTTTATAGGTGGAGGGATAGAGGTTAAGTGGCTTCCACAAACTTGTCATGACTCACTGTAAGGGTTCAACTCTTTTGACATCTATCTAGTCCTGTGCCTGCTAGACAACATACTATAGGGTCAACTCACTATAATACAAAGAATTTGTAGGTATTGGTTTTTTAAAATGACTACTTACCTAAAAAGTTTTTTAAAAATCTGCCTTTTTTTTTTTTTAAAGGGAGAGCAACTTTTATGAATAGTACTTAATCCTTAGGTACATGGGAAAAAATTGTTTTTAAAAAAACCTTAGGAGCTGGGGATTTAGCTCAGCGGCATAACCGCCTGCCTTGCAAGCAGGCAGTTGTGAGTTCGATCCCCGGTACGACCGATAGAAAGGAAAAAGACAAAAACAAAACAAAACAAAACAAAACAAACCTTAAAAGCTGAGGCATTCATTACCTTTTACCACACACAATAGTTGGTTTTTCTAAAAGAAGTATGATTTAATGTCATCAGATCCAACTACTTTTACCTTTAAATCATTTGGAGCAAGGAACTACACTCATATGTTAGTATTTCCCTTCTTCAAATAGAAATAGAAATAGAAATAATTCCTACCTGATGATGACAGTGTAAGGAAGAATTTACTCTTTGCCAACTGCTTTGAGATTCCAAAATGAAATACATAATCCAGTTGCTTTTCAACCCTGGAATAAAGCCAAACTTCATTGAAAACAACTGCTTCAGCAAATGTCTCCAAAATAAGATTCTATATCAAAGAGAAGAAATCTAACCTCGATCACAATGAAATAGAAAAAAAACTTTCAAAACTGTTGAGTTTTGTCAAATTCAAAAATTTAGTATTTCTTCAGTAATTATACTAATTCTACTCTAAACAGAAATTGTATGCATATACTGAAAAAAGTGATGACATTCAGGAAAATAAATGCAACCAATAAAAGGTAAAACCAACATATACAATATCAAATTAAATTTTTCTTGGACAACTGTATTTACTAGAGGACAGTAAGATTTCCAAACTTTAATCTCATGTTTGAATTGCTTCTCCTGGTATTGTCAAGTAAATCCAGTGTAATTAAAAACCAAAGCCTCCGCTCAGTAAGTTTAACAAAAAGTGTATGGCAACTCTTTTAATGGTATTTACAGATGGTGAGAAAAATAAAGAAATTTTATTAAATTGGAAGGCTAAGAACACTCCGTACTTAGTTTAAGTAGGAAGCAGAAAAAACTAGAAAAGCGGGTTAAGACTCTTCAGGGATTTAATAAAAAGTACAACAAATGATCTGGGGCTGGTGGCATACAACAGTAATCCCAGCACTCTGAGAGACCGAGGCAGGAAGATCGTAAGTTCAACTCCAGCCTGTTTCAAAACATACAATGGGCTGGGGACGTAGAGCTGGGGATGAAGGCCCTGGGTAGAATCCTGAATGTGTACTAAAAGGGTACTGAGTTTAAGAGGCTGGGTCTACACAAACGGGGAGGGGCTAAGTGACAGAGTGAGATAGACAGAAACCGAGAGACAGAGACAGAGACAGAGACAGAAATAAGAGGCACAGAGAAGGTTCCAGCGACAGAGACGGGGAAAAAAAAAATCAAACCCAGAGACTTTTAGAAAGGGGATCAGGGTGGAAGAGGATGGAAGTCAGGGCCACAGCAGGGTAACAAACGAGAGCTACAGGAGCAAGGGCCTCCGAAGGTAAAGTGGGGCGCAGACTGAGCTCTATCGCACAGAGGTGCTACACACACACACACACACACACACACACACACACACGCACGCGGCGGCAAATGACAAAAGATAACGAAGGCGGAGTGCGAAAGCGAGGAAGGAATCACGGAGGTAATAGAATGAGCGCCCTCGTCGGCGAAGGTAGGGTGCCCTGGCCAGGAGAGGAGCAGACGGGGGCTGCATAGGAGAAGTGAGGGGCGCGGAGGACACACACGGCCGCGGCTTCCCGGGGGGCAGAGCCGCGCCGGCCGGGCTCCGGGGGCGCCGGCGGGGTCCGGGCGAGGCAACGGGCCGGACTCGGGGCGTCCTGGTTTTGGGGCACGGGCAGGGCGGCCCGCAGCGCGTCCCTGCCGACCTTCAGCGGGCCGGGCGCGGAGGCCGGAGCCGGCGGGACAAGGGGACGATGAAGCTGAAGGCCGCCGTCGCCGCCGCGGGGCTGACAGGGTGCGACCGAGGCGGCGAGGAGGGGTCGCGGCCGTAGAAAACAGCTGTGCGCTTACCTCTCTAGCGGCGCCGCCTCGCCCCCAGTCCGGCGGACTGAAGAGCTCGCGGTCCAGCTGTAAGAAGACGACCCTGTCCAGGTCAGCACCATCCCGCCCCGGCCCCACTCACATCGCAACCACGGCCGCCGCGCAGCCGGCTCGTCACAGCCGATCGGCTACTAGTCCGGCGCCGCTTGCGAGCATGCGCAGTCGCCAGTCCCGAGGGCGCCGGGACTAGCGGGCTGTACCTGCGCTCAACAGGTCCTCGGCCGCACGGCCCCGCCCCCGCCCCCTCCCCGCCCTTCTCCGAGGTCTGGCCTCGCCCCTTTCAGGCTCCGCGCCCCGCCCCTCTGGAGCCTCTGCTGCCAATCCTGCTCGCGCGCCAACTGAGATTTGTTTGTTCTAGCTCCCACTCCCAAGTTCCCGCGAGAATGGGAAGGCTGCGTCATTAAAAGGCGCCAAGCCAGGTAGAGGGGCGAGTCCGAGGATTTAGGGAACTGCTAGTTTAGAGGTGATTAGGGAAGTGGAGAGCGGGGCGAGGAGTGCCAAGACAGTACTGTATCTATTTCTCGCATTATTATTTTTTTCTCTCTTCCCTACACCTAGTTGTCCCGAGACTACCACGTTCCTGCGCTACTCAGTTTGTAGACTTAGGAAAGACAGCTGCCTTTGAGGATCTAGGCTATTTTGGGGGGGGGGAACTTAGGTGCACATCATCTTTGACGACCAAAAGAGTGGAGAAGAACTGCTGAAATGTAGCCTTTGGCTTTTAAATTTTACTTAACAGAAGCCGGTGAAAAATAGTCCTTCATTGATTTATCATTCTTCTATTTCCAAATTTAACCCGGGCAACTTTTTGTTAGGCATAAAATTATTATGTGATTAAAGCACAAGTGCACAAAGAAAATTGTGGCTACGTCTTGCGCATTAAAAATGAAATCAAGAGATTGGTGATGGTGACAGTTACATAACTGTGCATAAACCTAACGCCACTGAACTATGCACTAAAAATGGGTAAAATGGTAATTTAAAGAATATTTTACTGCGGTAAAAATGAGTTAGGGGAAAGATTTGTATACTCGTTGGATAATATGCCTGGTAACTTAGGGAGCAATTTATGAATATCTTTGAATCAATGTTTAACATAATTGGAAATGTTCTGTTATCATCTGATGAGTAGATCTTTTAGCATTTGCATAAATGGTTGCTTTCCTGGCTCCTACTTCTGTTGTAGCTTTTTACCATTTTACTTTAGACAGAAAATTTTATTGTTGGTTTTGCGACTTGAACTTTGCCCTCAAAATTGAAAGACTTTTTTCATTTCCAGCCATCTCTTAGGAAAATATACTAATTTGCAGTTTCTCATGCATGCATCCCTTAAACACAGCCTGTCAGGATTATTTCCTTGTTCTCTGTTCTTTTTATTTAAATCACATTTTAAAAACCATCTACTGTGTTCCAAGCAGTGTAGTAATCTTGGATGATACCAATCAGAATAGAACAGAATTTGGGTGGAGTGGAATGTTTGTCTTACAATGGGGTGTGGGGAACTATGGGAACTCAGAGAAGTAATAATCCAATTTAGGTAGATAAGCAGTTTGGAAATACTCCCAAGAATTAATGAAATAAGATATGTAGTGAGATTTCTTGAAAATGAGGCAGAGTGGGAAACGGAGCTTACCTAAATGAAAACTAAAAACTCTTCAGTACCACTACTGGATATTTTGAGGCTAGAGAAGTCAACAAGGATCACGGTGAGACTTTGATGGACTCCAATCAATCCAACTTTATGTTTTAATTTTTTTTAAAAAAAAAAAACAGTGCCAAGAAAAAGATATATGCTGAGCACTATGGTAGTTACCAAAAATACAGTGTAGGTTGAGTCAGTCTCAAGTTTGCAATGAGGAGGTACAAACATAAAAATATTTAGTTCTGCTAAACAGTTAAAATTGGGGCAGGTGCAAGGTTGCCATGGGAACTCAGAAAAGGAGCGTTGATTTAGGTAAGGCTCCCTGGAAATTGCATCAATAGAAGAATATAAAATAATTTGTATAGCAAAGAAAAAGTGTCTCCTGAAGTACAGATTATTGGAGAGTGTACCACATTTTGTTCTAATTGTCAGACTATCTGGTTTTTAGTTCTGGAAATTAATTCCTGAGAATCTCTCTGTTTTGGTTTTCTCATGTATGTAAAAATCAGATTACATAGAATTTAAATTCTTCTGGAAATTTCTCTAGAAATTTTATGATTCTAAATTGTATTACCAGTTTTGCATCTCCATTATGCTGCTAATAAACATTTTGATGTGATTTCATGTATATTAAAGTATTATGTTACCTATGTCTGTTTACATCCAAGTTTTGTGTGTTCAAAAAATGCAAGCTTTATAATACTTTTTATCCTGTATTTTGGTATAGTTATTTAATTTTAGCATAGAATGTTTTGTTTGGGTTTGTTAGTTTCTGGATAACAAACCCAGGCATTGCACATTGTTTTGTTTCATTAGTGCCTGAATCAAACCCAGGCATCGTACCTACTAGGCAAGCACTTTATCACTGACCTACACTCCCAGCCCCACAGAGAATGTTTCTGAACCTTCATGAAACCCTTCTAAGTGGAATACTGTCTTAAACTGAAGTTTGTTATCTCTACTTATAGTTACATAATATTCACTCAGCTGAAGACTAGTAAAAGGAATTTTAATTTTTTAGTATATGTTTGTGGTACATAATGAATACATTCATTGTGGATAGTTGATACAAGTACATGACATCTTATTTCATTTTACATGTCTTCCCCCCTCAACTCTTTCTTCATCCAATTCCCTTTTTTTTAAAGATCTATTCACTGTTTCCTATTACCTACTTTTATTTTGCTCTTATGCTTTGGGTTTATAACAAAAGGGAAACAACATGATATTTAAGCTTGTGTGTCTGCGTTTTTCACTTGACATTATGATCTCCAGGTACGTCCTTTGTTCCTTAAAAAGGCAGAAGTTTACCCTTAATAACAGAGTAATATAATACATTTTATCCATTTTGATGGACATACAGTAAGTTTCTGACTTACGAACATTCGAGTTGTGAACTTTCACAGGTGTACTGTATAAAACTCACTTTGACTTGAGAACTCATTTGTAAGTTTGTGACTGTAGGCCACTGTTATAGATTAAAAACTGGTGGTTAACTTAACACCAGCTGAATTAAATCATTATGGAGCTGAGTGTAGATGGCCCACCTGAGGAAATTTGCCAGCATAAAAAGAGATATGGAGAGGAAGAGTGTGTCATTGTTGGTTCTTCTAAGTGCTGTTGTTTGGAGATGTTGGTTTTCCTGGAGGAGCTTGTTATGAGTAGCTTCCCCAATATGAAGTTGGCCATTATCATTGGAGGAGCACGGGACCTTGTCGCTGAGAGTGGCTGTGGTTCACTTTGGAGGAGCTCTAGTTCTTACTCTGAGCATTGCTTTCTGGCTCCGGAGGGGAAGATGTGTGCATTTAATCTCCAGGAGAAGCTGCCACGCTAGCTTCTTGACATTTACTTGACTGTTCTCATTGTTGGGGGGAGCGTGGGGCCTCATTGTTGCTGAGGATGGCTGTGGTACTTTTCAGGGTACTTTGCATTTCTTGGCTCTCGTGTAGACCTCTCAACCTCCTGGCACAGATCCTTCACCCCTCCAGCATAGACTTTCTAGATTCCACTGCTGACCTTTGAGCTTTCCTAGTGCAGATCCATTGAACAGATTTACATGAGTCCTTGTCATGGGCTCTAGGCCTCCAGCTGGACCCATGGGAGGCAATATCATGGACTCTACGTCTTCAGTGGGACTTATACAGGACATTACTGTGGGATTCAGGTCCTTGGCTGAATTTTCTAGGTCGTTAGTGTTGTGGACAGATTTCCTGCACTTACTTATATGTAACTCTGGATGACCATCATAAAATATTATAAATTCTGTGTTCTGTATGTCATTATTTTTCTTGCAAGCCCTGACTACAATAGCCACTTTCAACTTTTGGCTATTATACATTGTGATGTTGTAAAGATGAGTGCATGTATCAGTGTGATGATGTGCTTAACTCGGGAAGATAATGAGTAGGGGAATAACCAGACTGAATGAAATTTGTTGTTTTAGTTTTTTATTTTGTTTTTTTTAATTTAAAAAAAGATTAAGATAAAAGAGGACATAACAAAACAGGTCAGAACAGAACAATTTAAGCAACATAGTGTTTCACCACAAGACAATCTGATATAACAGTAGCTACCATAGTATCTCTTTCCTTGAAATATTTGAGTATACCTTCATATACTATATTATCAAACATAAAAAGACAGTGTAAAACCATTCAAGAGAATAAAAGTATTACAGGGTATTGAGAACCAACTAACAGACAATGAACAAAGGTTACTATATTATCTCCTTGTTTATAAAATATTTTGATTATACTATCACATATAATAAAATCCAATAAAATACAACATGATAAAACCAATGGAAACAGAAGAACAAAAGCTTGGTGGGACTTCAAAACAAGATGATATTAACTCATCACTAGTTATTATAATGTCTTGTTTTCTTCAAAATAGCTGTTCATACCATCACAGACAATAAAATCAAGACAACACAGAATAAAACCATTCCAATTAATGAATGAAAACATTATAAAGCTTCAAAGCAATATAATAGGAAATCATGATTACCACATACTTTTATGTCTTCTTACCATTTCTTATACTAGGGAAACTATTTGGTATTTACACATGTGAGTTTTATTTATTTCGCTTATGAATATGGCTGTAGTTTTAGTTTTTTTTGAGGACTCTGCACACCAATTTTCATAGTGAATGTACAAGTTTACACTCCCAGTGACAGCGTAGGAGGGTGACTTTTTCCTTATAGATTTTGCAGTATTTGTTATTTGATTTCTTGACAATAGATATTCCTTCTGTAGAAATATTAAAGTACAAGGTTTTAATTTGCATTTCTCTAATGGCCAGAGATGTTAAATATTTTTTCATGTATTTATTGACTAGCTGTACTTATTCTGGAAGTGTCTGTTCATTTCAGTTGTCCACTTTTGATTGAGTCATTTATTTTAGAGGTCTCAGTTTTTTTTTTCTATATTCTAGATAATAATCCTATATCCAAGGTGTAGCTGCCAAA